GGTGCTACCTGGGCTATCTTTTCACATGAGCAAAATGCTCAGTCATTCCAAGTCATTAGCAAGGGTCCTGATAAATTAACTTTGGGATTATAGTGTATTTATCTGAACAGGAAGGCAGAGTCCTCCTGTTCAGATAAACAGGCTGTTCTCCTACAGCCTCTCCACTGGTCTCCAAAGCAACTGGCTGAAGAGGAAAAGGGTGAAGGAAGACACATATTGACAATAAACATGTGCGTGGAGGAACACATTTTCCTCTGGCTGCCCTTCCTTTGGGTGGCCATGGAGAGGCTCAAAAGCCCTTTTGCTTCCCCTGCCTGTCTCAGATACTGAACTGAAATCATGACAAACAGGTGGTTCCCAGAGATGCTTGAACAGCCACAAGTTTACACTATTTTCCATGAATCAGATTAAAATCAGTGGGGAGACACGCAGACACGCACTAGCTTTGGCACCCAAATTCACGGTGCCTGATCTTCTCCAAAAGGCAAAGAACAATAACAGTGTGAAGCCACCACCTTGCTGCGTTGTGGGGAAACAGCACCGAGTTTGGGTGAGAAAACACACTGCTGAAAGGGTCCCATTCACCTTGTGGCAGGGGACACTTCCCACTCAGAAAGAGCCCATGCAAGGAGACCTGCAAGTCGCATAATAGTGTGTGCCGTGGGAGGAGCCCTCACTGCTGGCTGTGGTGGGAGTGGCCAACAGTGAAGGCACTGGGGCGGTAGGCACCTAAACCCAGTCATCATGGGGGTGAACTGTGAGTTCAGAGGAAAAGCTAAGGGAGTGAGAACGAGCACTGACTGTGGGGTAGATGGCTTGTCCCCTGCTGTAAGCTTTTTACCTACACATCCTCCAGTTCACTCTCCTATGCTGTAATATGGGTTCTAATATGGCCTGGCTCAGGGGTGGTTTCTACTGGTCTGCTTTTTTTTCCGTCATTCCTTGTGCACCTCTTCGGTCCCGGTCCTGTTTTGCTTTTCACTCTCTGCTTTCTCTTACTCGTCTGGATTTTCCCTTTTCTCCCCATGTCCCTGTTTTCCTCTGCTGTTTCAGCTGCTCTCCTAGTGATGAGTACAGATCCCCCTGATTGTTGTACTCCACAGTTCGTAGAACTCACATTTATTTTTATTTGTTCTTGGAACCAAGATGGTAAAAATAGTGTGAAGGCCATGGAAATAATGAGGGAGAGGAGTATAATGCCTTGTGCATTGCTTTCATGGGTTGCCAAAAGGTGGAAACCCTGTTGACTGGAATTGACATTTCCCATGTCTCAAAGTTAGCCTACAGCTCACTAAGTTGACCTAGAGGCCTGGGAAAGCACATTCTCCATTGAGTAGAGTAGCCGCCTTTTGGAAAGAAAAAGAGGAAATCTGGAGGAAAAAAAAGGGGAGAGATAAAAGAAGATGAAAGTGGGAGGTGAGAAGAAGAAGAAGAAGATTAATAAAGTGAAAACAAAACCAAAATTCAAAAAGTGTCAGAGAAAAAGCTGCATCTAATTTAGCGTCCTGACTTGGAATGTGATTGTACCGTGTGTTTGAGAGGCGGGTATAAACATCTCCAATAACCAGAGGAGGGAAAACTTGAACCACAAAGAGATCTCACTCTAATCTCACATAATCCACTGTTTATTTAATACCCAAAGCCGATGTTCCCGTATCCTTTCCAAACTTTTTTAAAAGGGGTGTATTGTAGCAAGGTGTTTCTGTGAGCTATATAAACATGCAATATTTCTAGGGCTGGAATGACGGTGCTGCACTTCACCGTGAAAGAACAGTGTTCTTTGTATGGAAGAGCCAAACTGTCAAGATGCAGCTGGTATCTACAGAGTCAAAGATGAAATGAGAGGTAAAGAATGAAAAATGGCCTGATCGTCTTCAACTTTGAACTAAGCTTTGTCATTAAGATCTGTGCAAAGTACTGTGAGCTGGTACTGCCCAGTTTTTGCAGCAGTCTCCACTCTGGGGCCACCATTTAGCGGAGGTACGGATAGCCCCTAAATGCAGGGCTGTCAGCATCCCTGCGCCTTCTGCTGCCCTGGAAGGCTAAAGAGTAGTGTGGGATAGTTTCTGGCCCTAGGATGTTATGGCACCAATGTTTGCATGCATACTGCTTAGGGATAACTTGTCTAGAACAGATTTGTCTGGGCAATAAATATTTGGCATAATGTGAAGCAGAGGCAAGCAGTGAGAACAACGGAGGGTGGAAGATCCCTGCCGAAGCTCCTTCCCAGGCCATCTTTTATAAAGCAAGAGAGATGAGTCTGTAGAAGAGCAAAACCTAGGTCATGCTTTTTTGCATAAACCTGTCACGGAAATGATGTTATAATGTAGGACTGCGCCCTCAGGTATTTGGAAATTCGTTGATGTCACTGCCCTACTGCTTGTTTTGCCCCAAAAAAGAAGTCTGAGATTTTCAAGTCTTTCTCTAAAGTACTGGCAAAGGTTATCCAGGGTGTTACAGTAAGGTTTTAATTATCTAGGATTCAGTCAGAGTAGCTATTGATCCAAATATCTCATGGTCTCAACCAGGCATGTGTAAACAGTGGTCTAGTGCCATGAGTGGGCAGACAGTGTATTTGCCTCCCCCCTCAGACTGCACAGTTTTCATTCTGTTTCCTAAATAGCTGTGACATTTGGGCTTCTAAACAGAGCTCCAAATGAAGATGCTCGTGTTTGTAATTTAGTTGTACTTCTATGTCTCTTTCTTCTCTGCTCCCCTTTCATCACTGTTTCTGCCTCTACTCTT